GTCAAAGAAAAGATGTGATAAAATAGGTGAGAAGGAAAGTAAAACAGGAAGAAGAAGAAAAGAGAAAGGAAAATAAGAAGAAAAGATAAAGAAGGATGTGATGTTGTACTGTCATGAAATATATCTATTTGGTCTTTGTTCCTGGTTCCTGGCACGGTGCTCCTAAAAGTCATAATTTTTCAGGTGGTAGGGAGTGATTGGATCATCTTTTGTCTGATATTTGGTATTAGTTCTCATTTCCTGACACTGGAGCTTCTAAGACCACCAGCTCTCATGAGTGACAAGAGAGTCATGCTAATGAGATAACTGATGATGGGACCACTAGATAGCTTCAAGATGGCGGCTGATAGCCAGAAGCACCATAGTATGATTAGAGGTTGAAACCGTCAGCCCTACCCAACTGACCTCTTGGGAGGGACTGAGTTGATTACCAATGGCTAATGATTTAATCAACTAAGCCAACATAATAGAATCTTCATAAAACCCCTAAATGACATTTTTAGAGAGTTCTTGGGTTCTGGGAGGGTATCACACCTCAACTCCATGGTAACAGAAACTCTTATGCTTGGGACTCTTCTAGACAACTCCTTATACACCTCTTCATCTGGCTGTTCATCTGTATACCTTATCATATCCTTTATAATAAACTAGTAATAATAAGTAAAGTGCCTCCTTAAGTTCTGTTAGGCATTATAGCAAGTTATCAAAATTGAGGAGGGAATTGTGGGAACCCCTGATTTGTAGCCATGTCAGTCAAAAATACCAGAGGCCTAGAATTTGCAATTGGCATTTGAAGCAGGGATAGACTTGAAGGACTAAACCTTTAACCTGTGGAGTCTGACACTACTCAGATAGATAGTGTTAGAATGAAATTTAGATTGTAAAACATCCAGTTGGTATTTGGAAAGAAAATTGGAGAATTGCTTGATGTGGGAAAAATTCCACACATTTGATGTTAGAATTGTTGTGAGTATAGAAACAGGATTTTCTTTAAGGGGGAAAAATAATGGCTATGGTTTGCATCATTTTTTATTGTGCATATTGATTATACAGAATGGTGGGTTTCATAGTGGCATATACATAAAAACATAATTTGAGTATGTATTAAAGGTTTGATCCCCAGCAGAGTGCTAGTGCGTGGCAAAACCTATAAGATGTGGGGTTTAGTGGAAGGAAGTTAGGTCATTGGGGGTGGGCCTTGAAGGACATATTAAGACCCCAGCCCCTTCCTCTTCCATTCTTTTGATTCCCACTACCCTGAGGTGAGCAGCTTTGCTCCACTATTCATTCCCACCATGTTGAACTGCTTCACCAATAGAATGAACCAACTATGAACTGACACTTCCAAAGGTATGAAACAAAATAAAACTTTTCCCTTCTTACGTTGATTATCTTGGGTATTTTGATTCAGTGTTAGAAAGCTAATTAATACAACAAACTCCATCCATTTTGTAAGTATTTACAATGCATCTATTATATCCTAGATCCTGCTGTAGCCTCTGAGGATGTATC